TCAGTCCAGTACCGACACCGGCTCGGCAGAGGGTGGACGAGCCGAGGCGACGTCGTGCTCTGCTTAAGAAGCGGTGTTATTTTCCCGCTTCAGAAGAAGCGTCCAACGTGTTTTTACGCTTTCTCCGAGACATGTCACGTCGCTAAGTTGTTAGCGCCGTGCGCTAAGGAACCCCTGCGTTCCTCTTCGGAACGAAAACCTCGTTGTCGCTCAGCCGCGGCGAAGCCATGTTTGTTCACACACAAATGAAAACAAGTGGGGCACTAATATATTACTATGACTCACTCTGATTGGTTAAGGGTCAAACAAAGGCGTGTCATTTGCCTGGGGTAAGTTCCATTTTCATTCAGAGGCAGAAATCCAACAGCAGAGCTGTGAATCGTGATAAAACGGTCTCTCAAAAATGACAGACCGTCAGATGTGTAGATCGTAAAACGGTCTAAAATCGTCATATCGCCCAGCCCTAATCAGGGACCACCAGAAAGGTGCCCCCTGTTGTCCTGGTGGGGAATTACACTCCCCAGCTAATGAAGACGCCGGGGGGGGGGGGGGGGGGGGGGGGGTCTCCATCAACGCGTTTGACTCTGAGCTGATGGAGACACACAAACCAGGCTTAAAGAGTTAGGAACATGACTCAGTGGAAGGTTCCACGATGAAATCCTCCCAAAACCAAACCTTAAAGTAACACAGAGCAGGTTCCTGCTCCTCCGCCCTACTGGTTGGAAGTGGAATTACAACGGTCATAAACACGCCTGCAGCAGCCTGCACTAGCTAATGCTAACAATGAGCTAATGCTAACATGAGCCAGCTAATACTAAAATAAAAAACAAAAGTTAAAAGATGCACAAATACAATTACTTACAAGTCCAGTAACAACAAAGCCAGGTCACCATCAGTCCAGAATTTAGTAGCGTTCTTTAGCACCCTCAAACTAGCATAAGCTGCGCCGTTGCTCGCTCTGGTTTTAGCTGTTTGCTTCACCTCCAAAGACATTACTCTCTTACTTGAACTTCCAGACACACACACCGAGAGACGTTTAGCTCTCAGACGTCTCCGTCTCCCGGGGAGCGTTGCAAGGCCATTCCCCGCCAGAACACCAGAGGGCGTAGCGCTGTTCTGTGGTATCCTGTCACATATCCGGCCCAAGATAGTGCGTTTATGTTGTGTTTATTTGTATTTAAGAGACGTTTTAACACAGACACATGTGTCCCTCATCCTCCTCCACCTCTTCATGCGCTCGCCACCTCTAAAACCACGTTTCCCGTCATTTCCGTCCACGAATAAAACGCTTGCTGCGTATCTTTTCACTCCTCCAGTCACGGGGGAATACAACGTTTATATTTTAGAGTTTTTTCGCGAGGTATTCTTCAAGCTGCTCCGTGTCTGCCGCTAGTTATCCTCGGCTCTCTTTATGTTTTTGAGGGTGCAATGGCGGCGCTGTAGACGACAGCGGCGTCCTGACCAATCACAAGCTTGCGTTCTCCATCTCGACGGATGGATGTTTAGAAAAGAGAGCTTGACTCCGTCCGTTCTTGCGCGGGCTCCCCAGCAGGCTCGCAAGCATGGGTGCGTCCGTCCCGACGCAGACGTATAAATCAGGCGTAAGTCAACAATCCCTGAGACCAAAGCCAAAGCTCTGGCTTAAAGTTTAAACGTATCTGTTGTTGCGTTAACAGCGTCAACACCACAGAAGACATGACTACGCCGCTCAGGCACGTAAAGTCGACCCGTCACAACCCACTGAAGCGATGCTGCTGAGTCGTCCTGAGCTCCATACAGAACTTTTACTTGTTTTGTTAGAATCTGGTTGTTTTGTACGGGGAAGTTGGTCACAGGTGTGTAGCTCCATGTGTGGATGTGGTGATGTATAATTATGGAAGTGGGCTGTGGGAGGAAACGTGACAGACATAGAAGGACACCAGGCAGAAGGGTGCTTCTCTGCTCGTGTGCTGGGACCTTTAATAAGTACCGCGGCGTGTCCTCTCTCCGTGTAGATGTTAGGGTTAGGTACCTCACAGAGTCCAGTGTGAAGAAGACGAAGCTAAAATGCTATTATTACTCCTCTTCTGCAACAACACACTCCATCCTTTTTATTTCTGTGCAGAAACTTTTTTGAAACTCGTAGCGGATAAAAGACAGGCTGATGAGGCGGTGAAAGCCTAATTATTCCATCATTGTTCATCCTCTGCCCCACACCTGTGCTTAACTTCCACTTTCATTTCACCTTTTCTTTCTTTCATTCTCACAGCTTCTCTCTGAACCCTCTCCTCCTGCTCCTCTCTTTTCCAGCTTCCTTGCCTAACACTCTCCACCAGACGACCTTCCTGTCAAGGAGACGGATTCGTCTTCACCACGGGCGCACTCACGGGCACGCGCACACACACACACACACACACACACACACACACACACACACTCCTACAGAGTGTGGCCTCCTCTTAAATCCCCACATTTCCTCTTCAAACCAAAAGCAGAACTTCTCCTAAAACTTAGCATCAGGCAACATCTACACTTTATCTTCTACATCTCTTCTAAGGGTGCCGATAGCTGAGAGTAGACAATGTGACCGGGACATGGCACAGGACCACACACACACACAGACACACACAGCGTAACATCCCCGTCCTGCAGCCACATCCTCGTAGAGGAAAGGCATTAAAACGACACGACCTCGCCACAATCCAGGCTCGTGGGACACCTTTTCAGCCGCTTCAGATGGTAAAGCTTTTGACCTCTCTTTGCCCTAGCTGCTGTGCTGTGCTCCCTCACACACACACACGCATGCACGCACGCACGCACGCACACACACACACACACACACACACACACTGTCCTCTGTGCATACTCTGCAGATCCTTCCTCAAATCGTACCCTATCTCCAATTCCATTTCACGTCCGGTTTACTATTGATTTTACCCTCGACACTATTCACAAGCTACACCTGCATCACACACACACACACACACACACACACACACACACACACACACACACACACACACACACACACACACTCTCCAGGTGTAATTCGATCCCTTCCTCGGCCCCGTTTCTGTCTCCAACCCTTCGTTCCTCTCCTTCGAGGACTCCACATTCAGGCTAACACCAGAAAAATAAATAATTAAAAACCTTTCCCTGCTTTCTAAACCGTAAGAGTTTGTGCTCACATATGCAGATTTTTTAATTATGTGCATCTTCTTAAGGTGCACATACGCTGTAGCATGGCCGAAGCCATGAAGTATGCAGAGAGGTGGACTGGTGTAAGCCGTCGGGCTTTGAGGCCTCGTTTTCACGTTGGAGCCAGTTTTAACTAGCAGAGTGACTCATCGTTAAAAATTAAAACTCACTTCTGCACGGGGAGAAAAAAGACAGAAGTGGGAGTCATCCCGGAGAAAAACTCGACTAAACAACTAACGTGTGTGAGGAGGCTGTTGAATCATGATCAGGGAGGGGCTCCGAACACACTCCGCCTCACCTTTCCAGGGTCTTTGTTCTATACATCACACATTATTCCTTCTCTCAGTTTGTAAGGAAGCTGCCATGCTGTTTACTGGTCACACATGACGACTCTCCCCATTCTCCTACCTTCATTACTTCTGGGCTAAATACCCATTTCACCTCATTCCTCGTGGCTTTCGCGCCTTTATTCGCCATCTCAATCTAAATGCATGGTACTCTCTCCCTCCTGCTAGCTCCAGCTCCATCTCAGCTGAGCACATGACCAATGGATGCTGGTTAGACAGCTAAGTCAATACGCTGCTGGCCAGGAAGACAAACGTCAATGTATTGCCACTAACCTGCCCCTACTCATCTCTACAAGAACATGATGGGCTGGCAGAGGAGTGGGGGAGCCGGGTGAGGAGAGGAAGGTAAGAAAAATATATATGGGAGGTGGGGCCTGCCATTCTTTAGTCTGTGTAGTCTGATTTAAAGGCCTATTGGATTTTAGACTAACATGAATCACTGCACAACGGAGGAATTACTCCCTGACAGAATGACAGGGTGTGTGTGTGTGTGTGGTGTGTGTGTGTACGTGTGTGGGTGTGTGTGTGGGGTGTGTGTGGAGGATGAGAGTAAGAATGGGGATAAATTTAAATGCCTTTCGGATTCAGCACAGTAATTTCTGAAGCAACAATGAAGCTTGGTAAGATTCTGCTCATGTTCACATTCCTGCACACTATACCTCTGACAGAAAACTGTTTTAGGAGTCTGACTTATTGAGGCAGGGAGCTGGATGCCACTATCAGGTAATAGTCAGCGAGAGCTCACCAGCGGTAAAATAGCAAACAGGTTATAAACAGTGTAATTACCAGGTAAACACTTTCCTGCTCGTAAAGTTGAGTTATTAGAAAAACCTTCTGATGTTTTAAGGTTAAACATCTTTTCATCCAGTGACAATTTACAACACTACAAGGAAACTTACTCAGCACCGTGTTCATAGTGAGCTTAAAGCATCCTGGACAGGCCCCCAACTTATTCTCAGACCAGACTCACTGGGCTGGAAAATATTCCCCTTTTCCAACAACCCTTCTCAGTGCAACTCGAATGGATTTGGTTGAGTTGGACGGCATTTCCATTAGTAATGGAAATTAGTCCGCCATTTTTTGTGTTTTTGTATGGCAAACAGATCACCTCACAGAATGATCCACATTGAATGATTGAATGATCAAAACAGACTTTAAGGCAGAGAGGAAAATTATCTCTGCCTGACCCAAACAAAGTCCTGTTATCCAATCTGACGCCATAGCAGCCTTGGAGTTGCGTGCAATCAACCCCCACGATGGAAGGAATGCAGACAGATGCTGTGAAAACCCAACCTACCCCCCCCCCCCCGCCTTCAGATTGTGGTCTCTGCATAGCGAGGTCATCAAAATGGAGGCACTCAATGTGCTCTGTGCTTTCCCTTGACCTCCCACCCACCTGTGGATACAGTTGACTGAGCGCCACACGGGCTGCTCCCGCTGAGGAAACCAGGATCCCTAAAGATCTCTAAAGATATTTGAATTTGGTCATTTCCAAGCAGCATTTTAGTGGATTCACTCTGCTCACCTCACATGGACTCACTGACTAAATAAACCAAGTAAAAAAAACTGGTTAGTCCTTAGATTTTAAACTGTTTACCAATAAAGGGTTGACAACAAAATACTGGTAAGTGTAGCTAAGGAAAGGCGAACCGGTGCTAAACAATATACCAGTCAGGTGCTCACTGGACTACCAGGTCTGATATAAAACATTAGCCACCTAACACACATATCCTGTGTCTGTGGACAGGACTCAGAATATCCACTTTGGCACCGGAGGAGGTTTAAAGCAGTGATCTGAGACAAGAAGGTCACAATCTCAACTGCAGCATGAAATGAACCGCTCTATGCACACAACTAGGAGAGAGTGGGCATTAGTGACCTGCTTCCCGGGGAGGCAGGTTTCAGGTGTAGGAGCAGGACTTGATGACGCACCTAGTTTTCATCGAGGCTTCTGCAGGCCCTTAAAAAAATCTGAACATTTGCAGCTGAGACAGGAAAATGCATGAATGCAGCCAAACACGGGTTTGGGGGTACGTTTCATGAGGACATAGGGTTAGGGTTATCACATGGTAAAAGTGGATTTTACACCCCTTTAAGCGTTTAAAGAGGTGCATTATTATTAAATATAGCCACCTAAAGCCTAATCAATCCAGCACAGCCAACAACCCCACCAAGCAGGTTTTACTCTGCACCTCCAGGTGTTGCCAGGTAACAATCAAGGAAATGCAGACCATAGATCGCCAACACTGCGCCGCTCATGGCTTCACTAATTAATACGTGCAACTCTAAAGGAAAGTATTTTTGTTCATTTTAATTAGATATGAGCTGGATTTTACTGCTCAGACAGCAACTGCACATATCAGCTGCTCGTTTGCCTGTTTTAGATGCTTTTCTTTAGGTTAGATTAGATTAGATTAGATGAGATTAGATTAGATTAGATGAAGCCACAGCTTCCTCTGGAATAAGTCTGAAATGCTGCTGTTACATTTCAGATCTGGCTTGCACTGAGAAGTCAGATTAATGTGGGTTTTGATCTGTTGAGGAACCAAGCAGCAACATTAAATCAGTTATAAAAGGAACCATCAAAACTCCTAAGTGATGTTTTAGCCGGGTTTCACCTGGTTTAGAGTTCAAGCCACCCCCGAAAGCTCAACACGTCATGTTAATGGTTCCAGCACTACGAGGACACTGGTGTCCAGTATGGCGCATACGCCCGACGAGGCTGTCTGCACCATCACAGGAAAGACATGAGTCAGAAAATGTAAACTGACTAGGATCTCTGAAAAGACTCTTTGGTTTTAACCTGTGTGGAAGGAAGGAAACGACAATCCAGCGCAGCAAGGCTACTTCCATTTAAATTACCTTCTTGGCGTTAGTCAGGTATGATCTAGCAGCTTCCTGCAAAGCCTTCCACTCCTCCTGCTCCTCCTCGGTCGCACCTCTCCCTTCTGCTTCTCGCTGCTCCTTTGCTTTCCCCCACTGGAGGTAGCACACCCATCCAGACAGATACCACACCTGTGAGACAGAGATCACAGCCGGGTTGAGGTGACATCAGGTCCCTGTGAGCCGTCTGAGTTAAGCTAGAGGTCTGTGACCTTCACAGAGTGAGTGACTTCTTCTTCTCTGACAAACAGGTTTCATTCTCATGATAACGAGCAATCACTCACCCAACATTAACACAACGTGATCAAACCTCCACAAATCCCGCGCTCGTTACAAATAAGGAACAGCTAGAGCACCGTGTCTTTGGTATGAATTTCAGCCCGTCACTGGCGCCACCATCTATCTTTCTAAAAGGCTTTTGTGTTAGCATTTCTGTTGTAAAGGACACAATTACTCCAGAGTGTGATTTACAAGCAGGAGATGCTGCATGCATGAGAAACATGCAGCGTTCCATCAGCCTCAGAAGCGTGGAGGTGAAAGCTGCACTGAGAGTTACACCAGTGGTCCTTATCTAGGCGACAGACCTTCTACAGTCGGCTTCTTACTCGTTCACACTCATAAAGGAAGCTTTATCGTGCTTCTGCTCCTTCTATCAGGCTTTTTAATTCCAACAGACATGGAGAAGTATCGTCAGGGACAACGGGGACCCTGGAGTGCTGCACAGCTGAGCTCCTCTGACATCTAGCAGCCAGCATGTTTCCATGTCTAGAGATAGAAAGCCGTAACATTCCCAGCGTTCCTTAACAAAGGAATACTTATCACCATCCAATGGTCTCAAATGCTTATGATGAGAATACAGGAGTTTTACCAGTTTGGTCAAATTTAGTGATCTTGAATCTTAACACCATGTGTGTTTTTGCTAATACCGATTAGCTGTGGTGGCCACCTGGCGCAGGGTTGATGCCACGCTATAAAACGCTGCTGAAGTTTCACACCGAATCTAAATCTGCAGAATAGAAACAAACGCCACGCGAGTCCGTTTCCTGTTTTCCTAACAGCAACACGACTCTACCGCTGACTCTGTCTGATCTGCAGTGTTGATGTTTTACCTCCACCAATAACACAAGCCTGGAGGAGTTCTGCTGTGGGGTGGAGTTGCTAATGCTAATGGTTATCTTCTGCTAGCTGAGATGTTCTCTGCTGTTTCCTGGACGCTAAACCAACAAAAGCCTTCCCCGTCGTGAGTCCAGATGGGTGAGTCCATGAATGTTAGTGACAGGGTGACGTAGATCTGTCAGGATTTTCTAATCCAGGAGTCTCACTGTCTGTTTTCTTTCTGCTACTCTTGGAGTCGGTAGGAGTTAGAGACGATGGTCACGTTCAGCCTGCATGTGAAACTCTGAGTGACCGGTTGTGGGAACAAGAATTAAACTGCCCACCCTGAGAAATCACCTGGAAACGTGAGGTGGACGAGCCTTCTCAGTGGTTGGGTCCCGGGTGTGGAATGCTGTTCGAACAGCCCCATCATAGATCTAGGCTAAAGACACGTTTTTATTCTTTAGCTGTAATTAGGCAGGTTTGTCTCCGAGCTGGATTTGTAAAGTGTTTTTATCCGTGGTGTTAGGCACTTTGGGGCTGACTGGAGTGAGCTACAACGCGATATATGAATAAACGTGTCTCAGTGAACCTCACCTTTAGATAGATATCCAGCTAAAACTACAGAGGAGGGAAAAGACGCAGGCAAAAATATCATCACCGTCCTTTCAGCAGCAAATGATGAATAAAACTAATCAGATACCTTCTCAGTGGCCTAGTGGTGTCCACACTGGGACTGGGAGACCAGGGTTCACATCCCGGTCGGGTCATACCAAAGACTTTAAAATGGGTGACCCAGTGCCTCCCTGCTTCAGTTCAATAATACTTTATTAATCCCAGAGGGAAACTAGAGTTTCAGTACACACAATTCCAAGATCAGACATACATGGGCAAGACACATGACAAGAATTGGTGACTGTGGTCATTCGCAGCACAAGTCGCGCTACCGTAATCGATCAAGAGGGTTTATGTGAGGATAGAGTCAAGGGGGGGGCGCTTCAGAGTTACCCTCACCAGAGAGGGCAGCTTTGCTATGCAAAAAATCACCTCAGACAGATATGCACACAGACTTCAGACGATACACACATAAGTGTCCACTAGGTGGGGCTGGAAGGTTCTGGGACTCTCCTCACTTCAGAGCGTGCAGCCACAGAGCAGCGCCCACCACCTCCGTTTGGACAGGGGAGGGAGAAAATGGGTTAGAGAGCACACTGACTCCTAGAGACGGTTACACGGCCTTCACCGGTCACAGTCCCGCCCAGGCTGGGATAGGGAGAAAGCGTTTCCATAGCGACGGCAGCATTCCACATTTCTTCTGAGGGGAGTTTTCACTTCAGCCTCACAGGCTCAAGGGCACCAGATTCAGATAGCAAGAACTGTTTTGGGTACAGAGATATTTTCCTCTCTGCCTTGGAGTTCTGTCGGTCTTCAACCCCTCCAGGTCCAGTAATGGCGTTATCAAACTATTCCGATCCGTACTGATCCGTCCACTCTCTCCTTGATCGAATCCACCTTCTGTGTCTGAGCCTGAATCTCAGCCAAAGTTCCAAGCTTACGACTCATCTCGACGATTATCCGAGTCTGTGAGTTTACAGCACGATGCATTCCATCCCTGAGCTCCGGGATTGAGCCAATATTCCTCGAAAGCTCGTTAATTTTCCGGTTTGCCAGGTAACCGCTCAGGCCAAACAGCAGAGATCCCGACACCAACACGACGAATATCCAGACGTCTTCAGAATCCTCTACAGACAGCTGAGAGAGGCAGATCAGGTTCCACTGTTTCCAGGACTCCATGATATACCCAGCTGGCTCTGTCCCAGAGGGGCATCCTGGAGCCCCTTCTCCCGTTCTCATCGTTGAAAAGATTTTGTCAATCGCGTTGAGAGACCAGCTGACCAGATCCATGTTTAATAATTTCCAGTTTCCAGTAAAAATGCAGAGAAGTGCCGTGCCCAGGCAGACGGGACACAAAGAGCCTTGGGAAGAGCAGAGAGGGGGAGGAGAAAAAAGCGTCTGTACTCTCTAAGAGCCGGAAGAAGTGTCTTGACACTCAGCGTTAAGGGGTTGGACTGGGGGGGGTAAACCACCAAATGGTTCCCGAGTGCAGCCCCAGCTGCAGCTCCTCGCTCCCCACAGGGATGGGTCACATGTGGAGATGAAGTTCACCAAAGTGTGAAGATGATTAAAGAACAGGCAGAAAACACAAATGTGTAGAAGAAGAAAACAAGCTTGTTATTCAAAGAAGTTTATTCAGGCGTGGTTTTTCATAAGCATCTACTTCTTCTCCATAATCACACATCCCCCCCCCCCCCCCCGCGTGTGTGTGTGTGTGTGTGCCTCTCATCTAAGGCCAAAGGTCACCCACCCACTGTTCTTCAAGCACCAAGAAACAAATATTTGCTCTATTCATTATTCATGGAGGGCAGAGGCAGTAGGGACCTGCACCTTCAACAAATCAACCATTTATCTAACAAACACTTCGCTGCACTGAATCCTGA